ATATATATATATATATATATATATATATATATATTGGGTTGCTTTTACATAAAAGAGAAACTCAAAATTCTTTTCTCCTGCGTCTCTACGGTGAATCATTTGATTGAAAAAAAAGTTGACGAAACTCTAAAAGATCAACTGTACCATTTTCGTCCGTATCAAGAATGCTGAGAAGTTCATCCGCCCCAATGGTATCAGATCCACTGAGGCCAAGGGCTCTTTGAAGTTCCTCTAACAGTGCGGGCACTGTTTCCCTAGACAATCGTCCATCACCATTAACATCATACTCACTGAAAATATCCCGAATAACATCACGTGTTTCATTATCTGCAGAAGGTGTGGTTTCAACCGCCTCCGCCTTGTTGAGATCTGCAGCAGCGAAGTGTTCCATTGGTTCGTATCCACGTGACTCAACATATTGCCCATCCTTGTCAAAAGGGGCTGATTGACCACAAAGAGCTGCGAAAAAATTTGCACTGTACTTGTAAAGATCTTCCGGTCTATCCCTTAGAACAGCCTTGGTATATTGTTTCATAATGGTTCCAAGTTCTGGAGGAACATTAATCTGCTCCACACAAAAGATGGACTCCATAATCTCCTTAACTTGGAAGACTACTTATATCGAGAAAAGAGGAGAGAAAAAAAAAATGTGGAGATGAAGTCAATGTAGAGAACACCCATGGAAAAATACGACCATATACTACATCATCTAACATCACCACCACAGAATTTCACATATAACGAAACGGAGACAGAAAAAAAAAAAAAGTAATCACAACAATTGGGATTACCACGTACCTTATATTTGACTCTTAGGTAGGAAAGAAAACAGAGACAGAAAAAAAAAAAAAAAAAAACCACAAAAGTGTTTTTTTCGTCTAATCTTTTTAGTTTAAGCAGTAAAAAGATTTTTTAAAGGTGTCATGCATGTCGTTCATGATGTGTAATTACATCTTGAAGCCTTCAGTAAACGGTTCATATACCTACCCAAGATAGCACACAAAGACCAACTTCATTTCCTTTTAAACCACCCTGATTTCTACTTGAAGAGCACTTTCTTTTTTTTTTTTTTACCTTTCAGGGAAAGGTTACAGAAAACAAGAAAAATATGATTACACAGCTTGTTCAGGAGATTCAAGCTCCTTCTTCTCCAAGGTCACATCAGGTTCCTTAAATCTGTAACGAGCCGCGGAGTACCAGGCTCCAGCTGCAAGAGCAATCACGCAACCGGATCCATCAGTAAAACCCATGGAGTCACCCATGATGAAAACACCAATAAGAATATTGAAGAACTTAGTTAAATTGTTGATAACGATGAACGTAGCAGCTGAGACAAGTTTTTGTAGACCAAAACCGGATGTTGAAATCATAAAACCGAGGATGCACGTAACTCCAATCCAAAACCAGCCAAAACTGGTAACGCGAGGCAAAAGAGAATCCAGTTTCATAACTTCCCCGAAAAGAAAGAGAACAAAAACCATTGGCATCGCCATTACGTTGTTATATAGAGCCAAAGTATACTTTGTAGCAGATGAAAACTCGGGCACATTGCTTGTCATATGTTTCACGAGAATTCCATAAAAACCTTGGGCGAAAACATTTAGTAGCATCCAAAACAGTCCGATCATAGTGAATGTTGAGTTTGACCAACCATATATTACTGCTCCCAAGAAAATAACAAACTGTGAAAGAATAATTTCGTCATTTACGCGCTCACCAAGTGTATAATATTCTGCTACAGTTGTAAAAATGGATCCAAGATTGCGGATAATGATAACTGTGGGGACAGTCGCATAAACAAAACTTTTCATACTAGTGTAAAGCATGGCGGCGAAAAGTGTTGCGACTGGAATCCACTTTTGCACATTTTGAAGTTTTAGACGCTCCACTTGAGATCGGAATGGAATCAGAAGAGCGAGTGTCGCAACCATTTGCATCAACACCAGAGTACAGGGAAGTGGCAGTGCTACAACAGCAAGCTTGTTGCTTAACATCATCCCAACGGATGAAACACAGAACACCGATATCGCATGCACATAGATGGCAACACCGTACATCTTTTAAAATATCTATAGAAAAGGTAATAGAAACAAATCATGACAGTAATCACAATGTTCATGTTTAGCACAGTTACAGTTATTGATTTCTGAGAGGGGGTGAAAAAATAAAGAAGACAAAAATCATCCGCACACACACACAGAAAAAAAAAAAAAAAACTTATTATAAGGTCAACAGATACTTTTATCTTTTTATCAAAACGTACAATACGTTTATATCACAGAGGGTCTACACTGCCGTTGACCGAATAGCTTTAAAGCGATACTTCGCAGAGGCATACCAAGCTCCAGCTGCAAGAGCAATAAGACAACCTGATCCGTCAACAAAGCCTATGCGATCATGAAGAAAAACAACACCGATAAGAATATTAACAAATTTTGTCAAATTGTTGATTTCTATAAAGGTAGCAGCTGAGACAAGTTTTTGTAGACCAAAACCGGATGTTGAAATCATAAAACCACAAAAACAAGTAACTCCAATCCAAAACCAGCCAGAACTGGTAACACTAGGTACTACTAGATTAAGAAACATCATCTCATTATGATGTAGAAAAAGAACAAAGACCATTGGCAGGGCGATTACGTTGTTATATAAAGCCAAAGTATACTTTGTAGCAGATGAAAACTCGGGCACATTGGTTGTCATATGTTTTATGAGAATTCCATATAAACCTTGGGCGAAAAGGTTTAGTAGCATCCAAAACAGTCCGATCATAGTGAATGTTGAGTTTGCCCAACCATATATTACTGCTCCCAAGAAAATAACAAACTGTGAAAGAATAATTTCGTCATTTACGCGCTCACCAAGCACATAATATTCTGCTACAGTTGTAAAAATGGGTCCAAGATTGCGGAATGTAAGAACAGTAGATAAGTTGGCATTGGCAAAACTTTCCATACTAGTGTAAAGCATGGAGGCGAAAAGTGTTGCCGCAGGAATCCACTTTTGCACATTTTGAAGTTTTAGACGCTCCACTTGAGATCGGAATGGAATCAGTAGAACGAGTGTCACAACCATCTGCATCAACACCAGAGTACAGGGAAGTGGCAGTGCTACAACAGCAAGCTTGTTGCTTAACATCATCCCCATAGACGATACACTGTAGATAGCAATGGCACGAACATATTCCACAATGCCATGCATCACTTCCTGAATGAAAAAGCGGAACAACTAAAAGAGGAGAAACAGATAAATATTTGCAATATATATATATATATATATATATATATATATACACCAGAATATATCTCTATACTGTTAAGCTTAAAACGCAAACAAAAAAAAAAAAAAAACAGAGACGCAGACACCCACCCACCCCAAAGAAAAAAAAAAAATCATCCCTCCCTTTTTCCCTCCCAACACAATGCAGAGTAAAACAGTGCGAGACCTATTCAGCTGTTTTTATTTTATTTTATATTTTTTTACTGAGACAAGTGGGATAAAGTGGCTGCTTGATCCAGAACCACCTGTTGCAGCCGTTCCTTTGAATCCAATGCCTCCTCCAGCGAAGTCTGAGCTACCTGTAGTTCTCTAGTACATTTTTTTCTTTCATCCTGTTCTCTCTGAAGTTGTTCTTGCAATGTTTGAAGAGAAAAGTTTTTTTCTTGAAGGGATTCTTTTAGAACCTTCACTTCTTCACGAAGTACGTTAACCCTATCATCATCTTCACTACTCATTACACCTCTAACAACAAGACGGGCATTAATATCCTCTAACTCATGCAAGCGACGTGACTCCAATTCATGAGCAGATTGCAAACGTGAGACATCACGTTGAAGAGATTCACACCGTTGACGAAGGAGCATACATTCATTTTCCTTTAAAACAATCTGCTTGCTTAGCTCGGCGAGACTTTGTTGTAATTCTTCAGTAGCTCTATCTTTTGCTAATGAAACTTGTTGTAATTCATTACAATTAGATTCTAATTGAGCTACTAATGCTTCTGTTTGTACAATTTTTCGATGAAGTTGACTATTTTCGTATTCAAAAGTTTGTAAATCCAGCGAAAGCTGTTGATCTCTATGATGAAGCTGATTTAATTGTTCTTGAAGGTAAATTATACCTTGCTCTTTCGATGCCAATGTGGCACGAGTAGCTTCTAATTCACGTTCTATAGTTCGTTGAGAGTCTGTTTGTAATTCAACCTCTTTTACAGCATTTTGATACGCCGAAAGAATTTCACGTAGTTCACCATCTTTTGCCTTTAAAGAGTATGCTAATTGAGCTTCATGCTGATGAAGCCGTTGTATTTCTGCTTGAAGTTTTTCATTCTCACTAGAAAGTTGAGCAACCTGTTGATTACAATAGTTTTTATTCGCTATTAATTGATCCATATCTTTTTGATATTGTTGTAATTGTTCTTCTAAACCATGTTTTTCACGTTCAATATTAACAGAACTCATTCGTAGTAGTTGTTTTTGCTCTTCTACAGATGATACTTTAGCGTATAATTCCCTTTCAGCCGCAGCCTGCTGGCTACACTTCTGTTGTAAAGAACGTACTTGCAGAGAAAGTTTCTCTGCATCATCGCTTAGTAGTTTTCTTCTTTCAACTTCTTCCACCAGGCGTTTTTTAGTTCGTTCTAGTGTAGAAAGAGTATCTCTATGTATGGAGGAAAGGTCATCCATTTGAGCTCGTAAATCATCATACTCTGCACATTTGATTTCTAGCAAATGTGTCAAACTTTGTACAGATTGTGCACCAATATCTCCAGAATATGTTATTAGGTCTACCTGACATTCCTTTTCTGACATACATACTGTTTCTGTTTGAGTTAATGTACAAACTAAAGCATTCTCAGTCTGAGTTTCATTGTGAACATGTTCAATATTCTTTTCACTACGAAACTGATGAAGTTGCTTTTGAAGCGATGTTCGCTCATCAGAGAGAACTTGAATTACTTCTTGAAGACTTTTTATTTGACTTCCAGAAGTTACAGATTCATGAGATGCCATTCGTTGCGCTTCCAATGCTTCATGCTTACGCTCTTTTAAAGCAGTATCTAATTTACGTATTTTTGTTGACAAATCATTTTTTTCTATAAGTAAAGAATTTTTCTCTGAAAGTGCAAGGGCAAGTTGACTTTCTAACATTTTACAACGAGAAACAAAATCTTCACCATCTATTGAACGATTTTTTCGTCCTCTTAACTGCTCCACTATAGAACGATTTTCTTTCTCCTTAAGAAGAAGTTTCTCTTTATACTCCACAGCAATTGCCTGAACTTCTTCAACAGCATTTTCACGAACCGTTGCAACTTGTTGTTCAAGACGTTCAACCTCATTATGTAAAAAATTGATTTGTGATAAGAGATGGGCTGTATTTTCCTCATGAATAACTGTACCAGGTGGTGAATTATTCTTAAGATCATTCTTTAGTTGAGTAATTTCCTGAAAACATAAGCTCAGTTGCTCATTTTTATCTTTTAATTGTTCTTCTAGGGCACGAATCACATCAGAATCATCAACATGAGGAACATCATTATTAAGTTGTTGCCATGCCTTTTCGGGAAATACGTTAAGAGCCTTGTTCAGTGTTACACGCTGTGGACCAGGATACAGATCAGGTCTTGCTACCGACTGTTGAAGAAAATTCTTTAACTGTGCTATCTCAGCCTCCTGAGCTTCACATTCAACCCTTAGGGCAATGTTTTCACTGGAATAACCTTCACACACCGCTGTCATTTCCAAAAAAAAAAGATCCTCTCCACTTACAACAACCTTTTTTTTTTGTTTACCAAAGCAGAAAAAAAAAAAAAATAAAAAGAATAAGATAAAAAAAATAAATAAATAAACATTCAAGGACGATTTAATAAGAAAAACGAAGTAAAAAAAAAAAAAGAAGAAACAGAAAGGACGCAGGAAAATAAAAAAAAACATACTTTTCACTCATCCCATTTCCAAATGTCTACAACTCCTACAAATCACCCCTACCCTTGTTGTGGAATTCATCCCGTTGTTTTGCAAAAAGCTCCTTCTCTAGTGCTTTTATCCGTTTTGCGTTATATCCCTCAGCTGCTATAACAAACATAGGTACAGTTATTACACCCACACAAAAACCAAGAGTAAAAACAAGACCTATTTTTGCCGGAATACGATTTTTTGGACTTTTGAAAGCAACAAATGCAGCAGCGAAACTACCAGTTATAATTCCTGCGTCCAAACCTCGTTGCATAGGTTCACACGAGAGGAAAAAACGCCATTGCTGTGCAAGAGCCTTTCTTCTCGCCTGACCGACACTAAGTCCCTCTTGTTCTATAATATATTGTCTGATATCCTTAATTTCGGAATCAGGGTAGATTTTATTCTCATCTTTTGGACCTTGAATAGCTGCCATCATATCGAGGGTCTCCTTTTTTGCCACCTTATATCTTCCACCTTTTATAAGATCCTCCATATTTGTGGATTCCGGTACATTTTCTTCATAACTAGGAATATTGCTACTTTTCGTCTCAACTTGCGGTCCGCTTCCAGATTGACCCATTCTTCTAGAAATAAAAAAAAAGAAAGAAAAATAACATAAACACAATCATGAAAGAAGTATCTAAAAATGTTAATATAATCGTATAATAATTTGGTGAAATCACTATTCACAAATTCAAAAGAAGATACAGAGCCCAAAAGTAGCAAAAATAATTTTCAAAAAAAGAGTTAATGAAAACAGAGAATCGCACAACAATAACAAGAATAAAAAAAAAAGGACATAACTCCATTCAGGTAAACCTAATGTGCGGCATAACGGTAACTACCAATAGCCAAAAATGTGAGTCCTACGGCAAGTTGAAGTACGCTTTCAAACTCTTTTCCAAAATAATAAGCAGAGAAAAAAAAAATTATTACAACTCGAATTTGTTTTAAAATGCTATAAGCCAAAGGTATAACATTAAATAAAACCATTCCGTTGCAAAACTGATAGACACCATAACTTGCTCCAATAACAGCAATTCGTTTCCAAGTTTCCTTGTCATACTCCACTATGTATTTTCCTTTGTTCAAGAAAGTTGGTACCATTAATATCAGTGAACCTAATAATGACATAAAAATATGTATTGCACAAGAAGCTAACACAACACCACAATCTGGAACTAAATGCAATAAAGGTTTCATTAGAGTTGTTCTTAATGCTAAAGCAGCATTACTGGCAAATATAAGACAATAGGCAAACATAAGGGTAGTTAAACTTAAAGAATGATCTGTAGTAGTCCGTTTTAACGAAGAGGAAGTCAAAAAAGCACCAATGCAAACAAGCATAACAGAGAACCAGGTATCTATTGTGATAATCTTTGTCGATATGGGATAATCTTCCTCCTCACCATGAAGGTTTTTACCGGTTCTTCCCTTGTCCAAAATCCGTCGTATTCCCCTTTGCATACATTCTGTAGAAAGGAGACACATTAAGAGAGGTTCAGTAGTTTTCACTGCATATGCATGTGTCATGCCAGCCAACGTAAAGCTAGAAAACATTAACGATAAAGCTAAAACATTAACACAAGCAACCGATAAAAGAAGCCTCCATGTTAATGTATTTTCATAAAGTGAAACTGCAATATATTTCAAATCACTCCATGAAGTAACTCTCAGCAACAGACAAGCAGCAGTTGTAACAATGCAAGCGAAAAAATTAGTAAAGAATACCACCTCCATAATTGAACCTTTTTCCTGCAAAAAAGATGCACTTTGAACATCACACCATAAAACGGAGATACACCAAACTAAAACAACCGCACACAGTCCTAGACTCCAGAGAAACATTGACTATAAACCTTTAAAACAAAAAAAAAAAATACTAAGAAACAAAACAAAGTAATCTAATGCAAATAAGATAGAATATTAAAAGAGACCATGTATTGATTAAAAAAAAAAAAATAAACCAACATGTATATAGATATGTTTAGTTAATGATATTCACGGACTGTTGTAGTATTAATCTTCATCACTGAGGTAACCTTCAACTGCCTTTCCCAAGTTACAATGTCGAGGTACGAAAAATAAAATAAAAAAAAAACAAGGAAATCCCAGATTGACTCCATCACACCCCAGACAACGCGAGAACACCTTCACAAAAAAAAAAAAGGGGTGTGGTGGGGTGTGAGCGGAGGGAACGCGAACTGCACCACAACCCCGAAGAAACAAACAGAACCACCGACACCCCCACAAGAGGCAACCCCCGCGAGGGAGCCGGGCTGGGGAAACCCCAGGCGAAACGCGCGAAGGCGCTTCAACCCTCCCCCGCGCGCCTCTCCCTCTTCGGCCGGCGGTTCCTGGCGAATGGGTGCCGGCGGCTGGGGCCCGAACGAAAAAGTTCAGGAAGAAAAAAAAAAAGAAGAAAAAAAAAAAACCTCCCCGGGGGCGGGGTCAGCGTGGGGTGCTCGGTCCTGGTTTTCCGTTTTCCGTTTTTATTTTGCCGGGGCGTTCCGGCTCTCTGGTTTCCCTGTTTTTTCCCTTCGTGTGCGCCCTTCTTTATTTTTCTTGTTTTTTTTTTTTTTGTTCTTGCTTGTTTTTTTTCTTTATTATTGTTATTTTCAAGAAAATTTTCTTTTGATATTATTCAATGTACAAGAAAAACAGAGAACTTAGGCGGACTGACATATTAGCGAAAAGAACATGCCTTATCGCATGTTTTTTTTATTGGCCTGTGTCTATTGGTGATAGTATCTATTCTTTTTCTTCGTTCTCTTTTTGAACAGGAATCATCATCATCATCATCGTCGTCAGGGCAAACACGTCTGGAGTCTCCAGCAGTTGATAGCCGCACTGTTCTTACAGCTTCTCGATCTATTGCTACTACCAATACATATCCTACTACTACTACTACTACTACTACTATTACTCCTACTCCTAATACTATTAGAACCACTACTAGTAGTACAACTACAACTACTAAAACTGATGCTCGTACTACTGTTGTTAAAATGCAAGGATTTTGCTTTTCACCACGTTCGCCGTCAAAACCACGAGCATCACAATTTGCCATACCATGCATTCCCACTGATGTGAACTACAGTAACTATAGTGGAATGCCATCTGCATCAGGCTCCTCCTCTTCCTCATCTTTATTGGAGGGACTTCTAACAGTACAACAGCGACAGGTTGGACTCTATGCCGCATTTAATACCTCCACTATTCCACCAGCACCATTACATAAGAAGCACCATCATTCTTATTATGCAAAGTTGTACAGTAATGAAACATCTTTGACGAATAAAAAAGTAAAACTTCGTGTCGTCGTACATGCTTCAGGACATCTTCGATCATTTCGAAAGTGTGCGGCATCACTAAAAGAGAATGTTCTGGAGATGAATGAGGCCCCTTTCTATCTAGTAACCTATCCTAATATTGGAGACAGGCGTCTTGGTACTCAAGGGATGGAGGATGAGGACCCGCCACTGAGTTCCACAGATATGCAAGAGCTTATCTATCATTATAGGCCTTATCTCGCAGGACTGTTTCTAGTGGACTATCCCGCAATGGATGAGTATCTTTCTTCAGTGGTTCCTCCTTTTCTTTTCCAGAATTATCCCTGGGGTTGGTGGATGCGACAATTCTTTACAACGGAACTCGCAACCGATATGAGTACAGCGAGCATGGAGGGAAATAACAATACAGTCAATAACACCTTTCTGAAACTTAAACTTGAACAGACATTATACACGAAGGCTGGCTACAATAGTGTTGACCACGCTCCATTTGATATTGCCATTCGTGTACGGCCAGATCTCTACATCATTGGCCCCTTGTGGGTGGAGTCCATCCTCCCCGTGGAAGAGCAGCGGCGAGCCCTCCTAAAGTGGAGTGCGGCTGAGATAAACAATCAAACATCCAAAGAGGATGCTGTTTTAAATCAGAGCTTTGCCGTCTATTTTAAGTGTAAAAAAACCTCCTACGAACCTTTATTAGTGCCGCCACGTCACATTGTTCGTGCGTCGTACCATCCAATGTTTCCAAACTTTGTTTCGGATTTCTCAACTATAGCGCGAATGTACGATGATGATAATAATAATAATAATAATAATAAGAGTGTACCGGGTGACGTTTTTCGTTTTTTCCATGAATCAACGACAGTCTTCTCAGAGACAGAGCTGCGAACTTTTTTCTATAAGGGTAATAATCCGGAGAACATGTGGACACAGTATACAGAGTGGCATCACTACGGAAGTATTCGCTTTGTTCCCTGGCATGTTTTGTTGAGGAATGGTTCAGTTTATTACAACACAAGCGTCTATCGACAGTTACCGAAGTCTGTCCGCAATTATGTGAAAATAGCCATTGGGACGACAGATGCAAGGAAGATCCAGTGCCCCAGGAAAGTGAAAGATGCCCTTTACCCCAGGTTTAGAGTTGAAAATCTAACATCCCGTTGAAACGGAGAAACTAATAGCGGTACCAAATATACATTATTATCATACTAATCTTTTTTTTT